TCTTTAATTCATTCTATTTCTTTAGTATAATTTATTTCACTTTCACAGGTTCCACAAGAGGCCAAACAATTAAAAAATTGAGCCAGGTGGCAAGGGCTGAAATTTAAATACTGTTACTGAAGCTGCTGCATCCAGATTATGATGGACCAACCACTTTTTGAGACCATTTATAGCCCTGGGGAAGGGGGAACCCATCAGTCCCTGGGAAAATCACCTTGAATGAGCTGCCTTTCCCCAATTCCTGGCTTCCTGAGGTAAGACAATGGGAGCTGCTCCACATATTGAGGGGTTTCTTCTTCCTCCCTCAGTGCATAGAGCAGGCAGAGTTCCCTCTGCAGATGCTCCTCGCCTGGCTCTGCAGCTCCTTCGCTCCAACTAGTCCAGGCAGCTCAGGGACCTGGGGGAGAGAAAGAGAGTGTGTATATGTGTGTGCATGTGAGAGACAGCACGCAGAAACTCCTTCCTGCCATCCACGTGCTTAGGAGAGAGGTGAGAGACTTCCTGCTGCACCCACCCAACCCCACTCAACCTCATACCACCAAGAGCTGAGAGAGCAGCCAAGGAAGAAGCAGGAGCCCAGTACTGATGGAGCTGCATCGGCATCTGGGGAGAGGTATGTGTTTGGGGCGTGGGGTGTCTGCGAGGGCGTCTCTGATGACAGGGTTTGTGGGGGGTGGGAGAAGGGCAAGGTGAAATCAGTGTGTGTGTGGATAGAAAACAGAGCAATTACTTGGGGGCAAAATTATTTGATGTGTATGGGGGGGTGGCAAAATTAATTGGCGGTGTTTGGCAGGGACATTGATTGATTGGGTGGGGAAGGATGAGGGCTTGTCTACACCATGCAGCTTTTAGCAACAAGGCTGTGTCGACACAGTCTTGTCGCTAAAGGTCAGCGTGTGTAAACGCTCTTGCCAACAAAATACTTCCAATCCTGCGAGTGGCGTTAGCTTTGTAGGCAGGAGAGCACTCTTGCTGACAAAGCCGCATTCACACTGCCACTTGCGTCAGCAAAACTTTTGTCTTTCGCGGGGGAGCTTTTTTAAGTACCCGTGAAAGACAAAAGTTTTGTTGACAACTTCACAGTGTAGACATACCCAGAGAATGGAGAAGAGGAGAGAAAGGAAATCTCTTTTCTTCCCTCATCCCCTTCCACCTAATATCCACTTGCCACTCTCCCCCAGTCCACTTCTTGCCTCCATTTCCAGACTCTAACCATTTTTCCTACCCAGGCCATTTTCCTTCCTTTCTTCCCCCCATTTTGTTATATGACAGAGGAGATGTAAAAGGGGCAGGGGGAGGAGACAGCACTCCCTACCTTCATCCAGGGGAGAAGAGCCAGGACTCCTCACAGCACCTACCATACTTACCCAAATTTTAGTTGTGATACTTGTTGATGATGTGATGCAACCTAGCCGGACCAAGTGAGAGTGCCATGATGGGCCCCGTTGGACTGGTTAAGGACTGAGCCAAGGGAGGGCTGCAGAGAAGGACACACCAACCGAGGGTACTGCAAGGGGCCCTGTTGGACTGTTAGAAGACTGAGCCCAGGAAGGGCTGCAGGACACCGAGGATATTTTGGATTTATAGCCCGGAAGGGGTTTGTTTGTTTTGCACACAGACTGCATGTGACTAGGCTGAAGGGCTGAGTCACCGGAAACCCACCTGATGAGGGCAGCGGCCAACAGGGGGCAACATGAGCAGAAGAAATTGAGAAAACAGCAGGCACGCATTCACTTGACTAGGGGGCGCTCGTGAGAGGTGAATTCACCCCATTACAGTATCAGACTTGGAACCACATTTATTTTTGTACGAATTTTAAGTTATTTTACAGATACAATTAAAAATACAATTTGAAAATAAGCAGCCTTTATGTGCACAGTGCCTAAAATGATGTGTTCAGCTAACTTTTTTTGAAATTGTCACTGCTAAGGTGTGAACAAGGTAAATGTATATTCTAGAAGGATACTATTATTTGATTGTATTGTACCACTTTAAATAATGAATGACAAAGCATAATATGGTAATAAAAGTAATAATGATAATGACTGGCCAGGGCAGGTTAGGCATTTTAGAACTCACTACTCAAATAATTAAATTTAAGCATAAAAGAGAAATAAAATTATGAAACGCACAGTCCAGTCAAAAAATTAAAATAACAGTACTGTAATCCTTTACGAACTTTGAAAGAATAAAATTATAGAGAATATATGTGCACTGTCCATCTTGACAGGAAGTACCAAGAAGTAAGAACAACAAGAAGAGGAAGAATATAAGGGCTAGTCTACACTGGCATCGCTTTAACGTGCCTTGTGTGGTCGCAGCGCACAGTGCTCTAAAAAAAGCACCGCCACAAGGGGCGTAGCTACCAGTGCTGGGAGTGCGGCTCCCAGCGCTGGGGCACTGTCTACACTGGTGCTTTACAGCGCTGAAACTCGCTGCGCTCAGGAG